GCTTTTCTCATGTTAGTTTTTATCAGCAGTTAATCATAAGCCGATAGCTCTGGGAAAACACTTCCCACTCATGTCCCCTGACTGTACAAGTGTAGCAAGAGATGAACACCCACGATGAAATTATACATTAACCTGCTGTACGTGCCTTTTTCACTTCATTCTGATTATTCTGATTTCATCTTAAATCCACTAGACAAAAGTGAGAGAACTTCACACAACACCAAAAATCAGTTTGTTAAAAAATGCATTGATATTTTATTGCAACAAAATTAGTGCCAGCTGCACAGCAAAATAACGTGTCATCTGTGGATAAAAATAGACATTTTTGGAAGATGTGATATTGCACTGAAATAAAGTTCCTCCTCCCCAATTCTTCCAGCTCTCATGCAAACATCATGCAGCTTTCTTGGCAAGTTTCAGGATGGCTGTCAGTAATTTCCAAGGATGACATCGTCGTTCATCATGACATATCCTCCAGTTTTAATGCTACACTCCTGAGTCAGCTTGATGACTGGCTTAATGGGAAACACATTCTTCACTCAGAGCTCTTTGTTGACACAACAGCAGTGTCATAGTACAAACCTTGTAAACAGCTGATTTATTTTTGTGTCATTTAAAATTTCTCCTGAAACATTTGTGTTGCCGTGGTAAAAAAAACATTATTTTACAAAATACATATCTTCTAATTACTATATATAAATAAATACACAGTGTATATAAATAAGTGCCTGTTCAATAATAATTTCAGTTCAAAACATTATCAAGTTTTCAACGTGGACAACTCAGAATGTTAAGTCAGGCATCGCTGATGGAGACTTTACAAATGTTGTCCAACAATCAGGGCGATAGCTTGGAAATACTGGTCCTGATGTACATCCTTCAGCAAGTCTCCAGCTGATCCAGGTTCTTCAGCAGCCGTTTTAGAAACTCCTTCACTCTCATGGGCGCCTCAATGCCCACGGTGTGAATGTATTCTTTCTGGCTCTGTAGCTCTTGCAGTGGCCCTGGTACTTCAGGCTTTGGTCGCTGTTGGCTGCAGTGCTCCTGCCTCCACAGATCAATGTAGCCTGTCAGTGAAGAGATGTCGTACTTGATCTGGGCGACCCCATTAAAGGTGTCCGAGATCAGGCTGTTGTAACCATTCAAGACCGTCACTATGGAGGAAGTTCCATCCAAATCATCAAAAGGTGGGTTGGCCGGAACCTTTAACTGGGAGGCGAACGCATTAGGGTTAATAACACATCGACTCTTTCAAACACTATAAATTCTGTCTTTGTACACAGAACTATATCTACCTCTGTGTCATTGTCCAGCCTAACCAGCAGCTGTTCAGCCATCCACTTCACTTTTGATTTCATCGTCACTACTTCCACTGGCAAAGGAGCTGCTGTGCCCATGCTTAAAGCTTGAAACAGAGAAAACAGGAGCACCAGACCGTAGTCCATAGCGTTGTGTATTTCCACTGTTGTAAAGAACAAAGAAAGAAGATGGTGTTCCTAGGAGAGGAATGGAAAATTAAACGATTAGAGATAAAGAATCCTTTTCTTTCTTTCTCTTTCACTATATCATCTCACTAAAAAAAAAACTGCATGAGTTCCTATCAATATCTAATCACATTACAGATGTTTGTACACATGCTTCCTGCCAGTAATTTACTCAACCTCTTTGGTGCAAATATTTGTGATAGAGACACCTGTGAGTTTCTGGCTGTATAACAGGTACAAAGATCACTGATTTTGGCTCCCGCAATTAGTCTCTCCAGTTTCCAAAATGTTACCAAAATTCTCTGAGAACAGTAAAAGAAAGTACAAGTTTCCTTTACACCCTCTAAACTTTAACTTCAGTTAAAACACATGTAACTAATAAGC